GATGGATGGATGGATGGATGTGTTGACTACTGTGACCAGTCAAAATGTGAGCTGGGAAGAAGATCTATTGTTCCATAAAAGTGACAGATGAAACTTTCACAATAAAAGCCTCCTTCTGTGATATTTTCTATGCAGTAGACAAAGATAGAAGTAAGTATCGGAAATACAGTCTCCGCTGCAAATAAGTATTACAAAAAGCACTCCCCATCAATTCCATGTTACACGCGACACGTTAGGACTCATAAATCACGACACTCAGCTGCCATCAGCCGAGGACTTGTGAAGGAATCTGATCGATGTGTGGGAGCCGGGAAACACTACACGGATGCAAATGCGCCGCGGTCGCTCAAGAAAGGGAAAAGAGCCTCGCTTCTAACAACACGATCCAAAGCAGACCTCAAAACCCAACGTGAGCGACTTAGAGGAATGCAAATCGATGCTCAGTCCCCCGACGTCAGCATCTCTGGAAACGTGTGAGGTGATCTGAAACATGGTGTGTGCACTGTGGGGGGGATCTGGCAAAGGAAGGCTGGCTGGATGAGCAGGTTGCTAATACTGAGTTAATACTCTCAAACTGTGTTTGCTGCAGAGGTGGTGTTTACTTCATTTCACTTCAAAAATCAAGAAAATGTGTCTTCGGGGACTCAAACACGCGACTATATGCCACTAGAACACCAGTAGTTTTCTGTTTCTTCAATTTATTTCAATGTCTGCATCATTTAAAGGCAGTTTCATATTAATAAATGTCTCAACATGTTATTTCCTATCCATTATATCCTCTTGGTGCATTTGCTGCTTGTGCCGTCTTTTACAGTGTTACATAAGCAAGGACCTGCTTTCAACCACTTCATTGTATTACAGTGGATTTTAGACACTAAGGTGAATTATTTTTTGGCTTTTGGGAATATTATTATGAGCAGAGACATCCTAATCTCCCTTTCTGTCACCGATCAGGCCCGCCTACGGTGGCCGAGACTGCCCCGGCTCTGCCTTCGACTACCAGATGTGCAACACCGAGGAGTGCGCCGGCCCGTACGAGGACTTCCGCGCTCAGCAGTGCGTCCAGAGGAGCAACAAATACCACAAAAACATCAAGCACACCTGGCTGCCGTACGAGCACCCAGATGGTAAGTCCGTCCAGAGCCGAGCAAAGCTGGCTGAGGTCAGGTTGAAGTTTTTATTTTTTGTTTTTACGCGAAAGCGACAAGTGGACGGATGAGATTCGCAGGAGCAGCTGTTCGCACGCACAGTCAGAGCCGGTGTAGGTGTTACCAGCGCTGTGGGACCCGCAGATGTCTTTATCAGATCCTGAACACACTCGGATGAATCGTGTGTGTTTATGTGCTTTCAGAGGCCCGTAAATGTGAGCTGAGCTGCAAGTCGAAGGAAACGGGAGAGGTGGTGTTCATGAACCAGGTGATGCACGACGGGACGCGGTGCAGCTACTCGGATCCCTTCAGCGTGTGCGCTCGGGGCGAGTGTCTGGTGAGGCTTCACTCAAACTACGTGGCACACAGTCTTTTGTTAATGTGATCGATGCCACAAGAAAGAAACCTGTGGTCTCATCTGAGACCCCATCCTTGAAATTACACCTGAATCTATGAATATGCAGTAAAAGCAAAGTCTCCCCCTTCACTGATGAACTATTTTCCTTCTCTTTGAGTTTTTACATCGCAGCAGCAGGGATTGTCAAAACGCTGCTCTAACCTTCTAGTATTAAAGTCAGGTTTAAACTTTTCTTCTGCAAATGAATGTGAGAACACACTTCCAGTAGCAAAACCATTGAATGGAACCTTAAATGTCAGATTTTATTCTCCAAACCTGCAGTTTTTATGCCGTATATGAGAATTTAGCGTCTCTAAGTATAGTGACATTTTACAAAAGGTCGAGCAAAAAATGCTTTTAAAGTTATAACAACCATTTCAAAGATGTATCGTAAAAGCTAGGAATATCAAACTTTTAAAAAAAAATACAGTAAAATCTGATTTAAAAGTTTATTCCCACACTAGTTTCTATGGCAGCTTTTCTACCAGAGATCATTTCTGTTGTAGTATTTTGTGCTGTTAAAATGCAGCGTCCCAAAAAAAAAGTCAAAGGTACGAAAACAAAGCTGCTCAAGGTTCCATATTGTTCTTCTTCTTCTTCTGTGGTTTGAACAAGGCTGATTTACCTTTATATTACAACCTGTGCAGTGTGGAGTAGATTCACAGCGACTGGGCAGAAGTACATAAAGAAGTCCTCAGATGTATTCACACTCTCCCATTAAAGAAGGAAAAAATATAGCTGTGACTGAAATAAGTTGACAAAAGTGATAATAAATAAAAATTTAATGAACATCATGACGTCATCATCAGGTGTTTCCTGTAACTCTGTCAGACTTGTGCACCTGTTGACAGGTATCCTGGACCACTGCTCATCAGCAAAGGCCTCTCATTATGACATTTTGTTTGTTTTTAAAAATTATTCTTTTCAACCACAATTCAAAGCAACATCTCATTTCACTAAATTATAATTTAGTAAATTTTTATTTATTATTACTTTTTCCAGTTTCCAGTTATTTGAGTGACTGTTGTGAGTTTTGTCTTTTCTTTAATGGAGGAGGATGAATAGATCTGAGGATGACTGTAGAGATCACCACTTCATAGATCCAGTATTCTAAAGGCAGGACCAGTGTAGACGTACATTTAAGCCATTTTAAGGCAGGACGAAGCATCACTGGTGATTAATGATTGAAGATTACCTTTAAATACCTCCTGAGCCGCACCCACACTGCTGTAACCTTTAGCAGAGTGTCATTTAAGGATAAAGAAAAAAACATATTCAGTGACTCATAAATGTGAATGAAATTCTGCATCTCTGCACTTTTCTCTAGCACAAACATTTATTTTATTTTATTTTGTCTCTCTATTTGCCTTGGAGTGGAAGCTTTTACTGTTGCAGGGCCACAGCTCTGACTGTTTTGGCTGCTCCTCTGTTATGTCTGAGTGTTTTTCCAATACGCATCGTCTTCACGCTGGCCACATCCAAACCAGATGTGCGCTGCGTGTCTTCCAGTGGCATCGCTTTCCCAGCGGAAGCAATCTCAGTGTGTATAAATGTCAGGCGCTGCATCGCCTGGGTTTGATGGACGTGCTCTGCCCTTTCCCCTCCCTCTCCGCTTCACAGCACGTCGGCTGCGACAAGGAGGTCGGCTCGTACAAGCAGGAGGACAAATGTGGAGTGTGTGAGGGGGACAACTCCCACTGCCGCACCGTGAAGCTGACGCTCACCAAGACACCAAAAAAGAACGGTAACTATCATCCGCCCGGGCAGGAGTCCACTGCCTGGTTCTGTTTACTTCATACCAGCTGAGGGAACAAATGATCTCAGGTTCTGTTTGGACTGTTTGTTTTGCCCCCTCGATGAAAAGTGTTCCCCCTGCTGCAGCCAAAACTCTGCGTGGTTCTGAAATAATTGAGTCCGCTGCTCCGGGCTCCCAGCCTCACCGTGCTCGTCCCTTTGTCTTGTCAGGTATGCTGAAAATGTTCGACATCCCAATAGGAGCCCGCCACATCGTCATCGAGGAGAATGAGACGTCCCCTCATATAATCGGTGAGTGAGCCGCTCTGCCTCCTCCGTCTGATGCTGTCGGCAGAACCTGAAGCAACAGAACTCGGGTTGTGAGGAGACGTGCAGGTGTGCAGGTCTGGAGGAGTTGCGTAACGTCTTTGACTGCTTCAGGCCTGAACGCTGCAGAAATAAATAAACTAATTTAATAATGCAGCAATCATCCAGATAGAACAAACAAGAGTCAGGGGAATAAAGGGCAACAAAAATAAAAAACAAAAAACAAAAATAATAATAATAGTAATGATAATAATAATAATAATAAAAAAAACAAAATAATAATAAAAATAATAATGATAATAATGCACTGTGCTGCTTCTCTCTGTCACTGTGTTATTGTGTAATATATATACATTTATTTATCTTTTTATTTGTCTCTTTAATGAAAGAAAAACCCACAACGGTCACAGAAATAAATTGAATCTGACAAAAGTAATAATAAATAAAAATTCTATGAAAATTAATCAATAAAAATCAGACGTTGCTTTTGAACCGTGGTTCAACAGAATTATTTAAAAAAATAAAAAAATGATGATAATGTGAGCATAGGGACCTGTTCAGTCAAGGTGTGTCCTCTGTATCTGAACACATTTATATTTTACATACTCACCTATATTTACCTATTACACTGATGCTTATCATATATTATACAGCTTATTGTTCATATTATCATTACTACTATTCTTATTATTACTATTATCACACCGCGTTGTTCTTCTTAATAATTTTTTTCCTGCTTTCCTTAAATGAATTTTCCTAAAATTCCTCGTCTCTGTTGCTCTGCTCCGGTTTCCCTGAGTCACCCGACCAAAGGGATCAATAAAATCCTGTCTAATCTAATCTAATCTAATCTAATCTAACAACAAATCCTGAATGCTGATTTGCAGCTTTTACACAGCAGTGAATAAGCCCCGTTGTCTCGGGCATCTGCACCAACAGTTGCAGAGTCGGTAACATAATTAAACGCTGAAATTCAAAAGTTTCCTTCGGCCTTGTGGCTTTGCAGCAGTTCCAGCAGAGACGAGGTAGCGTAATTGATTCCTGCGCTTCTGTTAAGCAGCAGAAATAAACACATTACTTCTGTTTTGCCGTCTCGTAGTGTTGCTCTCTGCGTGAAATGAGATATTTAGGGTAAAGCGAGGACGGTTTGGAATCTAATGAACGTAAACATGTCGTGTGAGGATGTGAATTAGACGGCAGCACGAGTGAAGTTTATGCATTTCTTTACACCTCCGCTCCAGCGTCGGCCTGCGTCGCCTGTTCTCAGGTTCTAACGAACGTCTCAGGATGTTTTTTTTTTTTTTTCAGATTTGGCACAAACGTGGATTTATAGATGAACCGATCAGGTGGTCAAATGTCGCTCTGACCTCACAGAGGACATGGTTGGCTGTAACCTGAGCATACCTAAACTTATTATAGCAACAAATCAAACCAGTAGGATTAACGTGATGACGTTTTATATGGAAAAGGTCACTGTGGCATTACAATGTTCTGCAAGAAAAACAAAACATGTTTCTGGCCGTTACTCAAGTCAGGAAGAGAAAGGAGGATTGTGACCTTATTTGCTTGGATGCTCAGTTGGTTATCTTGGGTGTCCACCTTAAAACCGTGATGATACTGGAGATCTTCTGACAGGTTGAAGACGTGTGTGAAGCATCTATATTTCAGAATCTGTAGCTTCTTTGCAGCAAAATTCATATTTGAAGTTTCGTCTGATTTCATGGCTTCAGATTTGTCTCACACGAGAATAAGATTTAAAGGCGATGACTAAATTCTTATATTAAATTTTCTGTATTAAGTTCTTCCAAAGTCTTCCCTTCACATTTTATATGACTCGGCTTTTTAATATGCTGACTCTGCATCCGCTCTCGCTTCGTACAGGAATCGGCTCAAAACTTTTCAGAGCTTTGATGCCTAAAATGTCAAGTTTCAGTCGAGAGATTAAACAGAATACGAGGTTCTACGTAGTTAACAGACACCAGAGGGAGGAGGTTTCTCATCCATGCCTTCATAATCACATATTTACAGTAAAATCAAACAATTATTTCACTAGAAAGCCATAAATAATCACCTCGTATTTTCCAGGGAGTCTATATTAATATTCTCTGTAGGATGTTACTGTTACGCTGCCATTAGCACAGCTGTTGAGTTACATCAGGGAGCTACTCTGGTCATGTGAAAGGGAAAAAAAAAAGGATTTCTGCTGCTTGTTTCCGACCCATGCTGATAAATAAAGGCTTTGTATGTACAGTACATCTAAACTGAAGGATTTTATATGTAAAGAAACGAGGCTTCAGGTAGAAGAAGAAGAAGTGACACGCGTATATCTTTAAGCTCACAGTGACTCTTTGTGGGACTGAATGGAGTGAGTCAGGCTCGGCTTGGCTTCGAGTCAAACCCTCTCCTCTGTTTCCTCTCTGGCTTCTATTAGCTCGTGGGAATAAGAGCCGGAGCACGACTCGGAGGAATTATCGTCGGCTAACCGCAGCTCGTTTGTGTTTCTGTTCAGTTTTTGAGAACTTTAATGAATGAAAACGACGCACATTTTTGTCGCATTAAGTCGCCTTTGCCTCTTTGTCGACAGCTGTGAAGAATCAAGTGACTGGAAACTTCATACTGAACGCAAAAAGCGAAGACGCTGAAGCGAAGACCTTCATCGAGAACGGCTTGCAGTGGGAGTACTCCATCGACAGCGAGAAGGAGACTCTGAAGACGGCCGGACCTCTGCATGAAGGCATCGTGGTTCTGGTGAGTGGGACGTTCAGGTTTTATCCCGCCTCAGACGGGACGCTCTGTCAGATTCACCCGTTTATTTGGGATCACATGCATTTGAGTGACGCTCTGGAACAATCTGAGCAGGCCTGACAGTCCCTGAGAACCCCGGCAGAACCTTAAATTCACAACATTCAAATAAATACAGTACGAACACAAGAGAGCAACTAAATGGTCCTCACCTTACCAAATCCAGAAGACATAGTTCCAATGTACAATAATGCACCATCTGCATCCTACAGTCCCACGATATGGGAAACAACCGGGTTATTTAATTAAATTTTATCTGTATAGCGCAGCTTTTCTAACATCTAACATTCTTTTACTTGCAGGTCATTCCTCAGGAAGAAGACGCAAAAGTTAGCTTGACGTACAAGTACATCATACACGAGGACCTCTTACCGCTCATCACCAACAACAACGTGCTGCTGGCTGAACTGGACACGTATGAGTGGGCGCTGAAGAGCTGGTCCCAGTGCTCCAAGCCCTGTGGCGGAGGTCAGTGAGCGTATGTGGAGCTACACAACACAGACAAACGATCAAGGCTGCAAGTTAGAACCTCGTGCATGTCCAGACAAAGGCAACGCTGGATGTGTTTGTGAAGTTTTACCACCTGTTTGCTGTCGGTGTTGCAGAGTGAACGCTTTAGACGACTGTTCGATTAGTTGGTTGATGGATTCAAAGAAAAGAAACTGACAGGAGTTTGCTAACTGTTTAAAAAAAAAAGGTAGTTCAAGTGAAAAATGACTTCTTTTGCCAGTGTCAGATAGCTGTAAATGTAATATCTATTGATTTTAATTATAATGATCTTTATTTAACTTTTTAAAAATCCAGATTTTTGTTTCTTCCAAAAGCAGCAAAATATAAATAAAACCATCAGGATTTAGGAGACGGATGAATCACACAGTGGTGTATATGAGCATCAGTGTTGGAAGAAAAGCAGAAATAATATTGGAAGCAATAAAAGACAGTTTAAAGGATATTAAAGAAAAATGAGGACAGGCGCTCTGATGTGAGTATGTTTTAGGAAGACATCGCTGGGTTGAGTGCAAATACTCCATCTCCAGAGAAAACACCTCTGCACAAGGATTTCAAAATGCAAACTGGTGCAAAAAGGTACCAAAAGGTCAGAAACATACCCAGGAGAGAGGCCTCGAGGGCTGTGAAAGGATTCAGTATAAAATCTATCCTCAGGTCTACGAGGAGTCGGTGGAAAGAGGCTCAAACAGGAACAGACAAACACTGTAATGCACATCTTTAAGTTGGAATAATAATAAAGATTTATTAATAATCAAATGAAATTATAATGACGAGTGACACCAACAAAGTAAATGCAAAGTCCTGCAGTAGCATCGAGTGCATGCATTTCATATTTAATACGTTTCTGTTATTCGTTATATCAGCTGAACAGTTTTAGTAAAGAAAAGTTGAATCTCTGCAGAATATAAGGATGAAGCTCGACTTCTTCTCGCTAAACGTGGAGTTCAAGCTAAACGCCCCCACGCTCTGACATTCCCACTGCCGTGTTCCTCTGCGGGTTTCATGAACTGCTGCGTAATTCTTCTCTTGTCTTCTCCTGGCACGCACCCTTCTGTTACCGCCGTAAATCTGGATTCACCCAGTGCCGGTGAAAAGTCCAGCGTTTGGCCTCGTTTCCCCTCCTGAGAGGAACCACTCGTCCTCCGAGGTCCACCGGTGAAAGCCTTCCTTTGATTCCTGCTGTTTGGAGTCTCGCCTCCTCGAGCTGTCTTTCTGTCTGTCGGTGAACAAAGCTTGATGGATTGATCTTCTAGCGGTGTGATTATCAGGACTCGTGCTTCGGCTACAACTGATCGAATTTCCACAAAGTGTTTCAGAGAGCCATTCACCAGACGCCCTTAGAAACCGTCAGCCGAGCCTCGAGAAATGGCCTCTTGGCTCAGAAAAACAATTAAGGCGTCTCACACCTTCTGTTTATTCTGATGTTACCGAGTATAGCGGTGCCGTTTCCTGTTCTGCTGCAAGCTGGAGGCGCAGCAGGTGAACAATGGCTGCAGGTTGATTCACTCGATTGAGCCTCTGATGAGCCGATCAGATCCACTCGAGTGTTGAAGCGTGGAGGGATACGACTCGACCAAGTCTGAGCTTTAGTACAAATGAGTGGCTTCCCAACAGTCGTGATGAATCTTAAATATTTATCTTAGTTTGCATTAAAATACGAGTTGTTTCATGTAATCTCAGAGTTTTGGACCTCGCTGTTTATACTGTATGAGCACGTGACCGTTGACCTTCTGGATCATTAATCACATACACGTTTTACCTCTCAGGTATACAGTACACCAAGTACGGCTGCAGGAGGAAGAGCGACAGCCGTCTGGTGCATCGGAACTTCTGTGAAACCAGCAAAAAGCCCAAACCCATCCGTAAACGCTGCAACATCCAGGAGTGCAGCCAGCCCACGTAAGTGACCTCCGGCTCCAAATAGGCATCGAAAAGTGGCACACAGTGGTTATTACCTGCAGGGTTGTAATAGTGATGGCTTTAATGGACAGCGCTGTTTCTAACGAGCGGAGAGGAAATAATAACTGCTGGGCTGCTGTGCTGGCAGGTGGGTGGTGGAGGACTGGAGCCCCTGCAGCAAGACCTGCGGGAAGCTCGGCTACCAGACCCGGGTGGTGCAGTGCATGCAGGTGCTCCACAACGGCACCAACAGGGTGGTCCACAGCAAACACTGCACCGACAGCCGACCGGAGATGAGGAGGGCCTGTAACCACACCGTATGCCCCGCCCAGTGGAGGACGGGGGCGTGGTCTCAGGTGAGACGAGCTGTGGTGTTTCATTATTTATTACCATACATTAGGATAAGTAGAGGTTTACGTCGCTACGTTAACCTCCTGATGTGTAGCCGTTGTGTTGGCTAAGTGGTGGACCTGATGCTAACAGTAGCATGCTAATGTACTGACAGTAAACGTGGCGTTATCGTCGACATGTTAGACCTCAAACTTGATTCACATTCAGTTTGAAAACAGTCTAACTAGTACAACTTACAGAAAGAGATTAAACGTCAGACTGAACTCGATATAAATGCTTCATGAGTAAATCAGCACCTGTTTTCTAACAAGGTTGCCATAAATTTAAAACATTATTAACGTGTCAGTGTTGTGTTCATTCAGCTTGTTTAACCCTGTTCAGGCCATTTGGTTTAATCGACAGGTATTGTTTTTATTTTTGTTTTTTTAAATACTAAAAGAGGGACATTTGTCAGCATTTGGAACCAAAAATACGTCAACTTATCAGAAAATAACACCGTATAAAAGTCTATAATGAATACCAACACATATTTTGCACATATTCTTTCCAATGGACCCCCAAAGACCTTCTACATATGGAAACATAAAAGTCCTGAGTCGGGTTCAGCTGCTACCAAGTGGCCCAAAAAGTCTGTTTCTGCAGGTTGAAGCTTTACTCCTGTAACCAGATCTATTAAGTCACCAGCAGGTCTGAACAGTTTATCAGTTTCAAATTGAAATGACCAAAAATTTAAGTGTCCAGATGTGAAGGACGGACTGAGATCTGTGCACATGATCCGGCTCAGTGCTGTCATAGCAACCAGCGGTGCATCTACTGAATACTGGCTTATTTACATTTTTTATATTTATTTTATTTAGCTTACTCTGTAGAAATGTGTTTTCACTTCGGCATGTTCTTTGTAAATTCTTGTCACAAAGGGCAAATCAATGTGACCATAATTCAATGTTGGACTGAAACCAAAGGGGAGAACTAATAATAAGTAAATAATTTATAAGTGCTGTAATCCCAGACTCATTATTTAATAGCCGCACTTCGTACATGTCGCAGCGCATCTGACTCGGGGTTTGAAGCGG